AGATTGGAAAATTACAATGGACAATCAAGTGTTGCTTGATATTCTCAAATAATAGATATCTGCGCTGGTCGTTTTAAGCTTTTTTTTGATTTAAAATTTTTGTATGTAAGTAGAAATGAAATTGAAATTACGAGATAATGCTTTTATGTTATTATTTGTGAACATTTATTTAGTTCGACGAGTAAAAAACGCCCAATAAATGGTCAAGAAAAATTTATTGAGCCAAATTTTCTTAAGCAGTACGGTATAAGAAATGTTCCACGCTTTCTACTATGGTTTTCTAAATTTGTATTTTGTGAAGAGCACTACGCTCTCTTGTTTTCAGCAGAAATCCATTATTTCGTAAGGAAAAGTGGGGCAATTGTTTTGTTTGCGTTAGCTATCGCGAACGCTAGCAGAGTAAAGTTACCGATCGCAAAATGTTTCCGAGTGATTTGAAGTTGTTGTGTTTCGTTACTCTATAGGTGCGAAACTAAACAATACCGAAACGTTTGCTATTGTTTGTTTGCGTTCTCTGTAAGGTACAATCGCACATTGATGTTCGAAAGCTGATAAAGTTGAAGGCAGTTTGTTTTAGATAACAGTTTGTTCGTCAAATAACTGAATTAAAACATTCATATCGGGCAAGAACATCTACTTTTTTGTTCAATGGACTGCAAGAAAAACTTTTTCGCTTGTTTTCCCCAATGTTTAGCTTAGCCTTCGATTTCAGACAGAAATTATCTGAAAGCGTGTTGGAAGGCATATTCCCAGATACCTCAGGCGCATGTTTCGAACAAAATTGGAAAGTAATATTTTCAGATTTTCCACTTTTGCCGTTTTTTTTAAACATTTGAAATTCTATGGTTCCTTCCCTTCAAAATTGCAAGCAGATCAGATTCTTCGCCTACAATGTAATTATTCGAAAAATGTGAAGTGCGGACCAAGGCCGCCTCAACAATGGCTAAAATGCCAGCTCTGGTGTAAGCATTGTACTTCCAGCACGTCGTAGTCTTTTCTCAGATTTTGTACCAAAATTGGCAATTTCAGGCGAGTAACCATCAAGACTTATATGTATTTTTCAGAATAACGACTCCAGAAGAATCTCTGAGCAAATATCCAACTTTTACGAAGTAGAATTCTCTTCTCTGTGTTGCCGAAAAAGAGCGGCGGAAGTATTTTTGCGCAGAACTTCTTTCTTTGATACACAAATCTTTAAAACTTTAAGGAGTGTATGCATTCCGAGCAAACCTCGGTCAACCTGGTACTGTATGTTTATTGGTGCCGTCGGAGCTTAGAAGCATTCCATGCATTTTATATGAAAAAATTTAGTTTTTGTAAAACTGCTACAAAATCGTTAAAACAAATATTGTTTGATCGAATAAGAATATTTCCCTTCAGAAATCATCAAACCGTAAAATATTTTACATATTTAACTTTAAAATTTAAAAAAAAATTGTACAACCGTTAATATTATCTTTTTATACAAAATATTTTGTTATTTTATGTGTTCCTAGCCGCACAACGCACGAAAAGCTCAACGGATTAGTTAAATTAATTTTTTAATATGCGTCGTAATTTTATTTTGTGGACATTTCTGAAGGAAAGTACTCGTATTCGATCAAAATAAATTTATTTTTTCACCGATTTTATTTCTTTTTTCCATTTTCTTTAATTCTGGGGGTGGCTGGGAAAACCACTTTGGACGACCCTAGTGTGCATTTATATGTGTGTATACATATGAGTTTTTTTTAACACTAAATGTCCAGCAGTTAGTTGACCAACAATTAGTAAAGAGATATCGCTCTTGCTCCTTTGTCTGGCTTTATGACCTCTCGATGCTATGTCGATGAGTATGTAGCGGATTAATTGATTGTTAAGATTTTTATGATTTTTTTACGGATTTTAAAAGAGTTAACGCTCTTAAATCTAAAATTCTTCAGTTTTTTGTTGGTTACGTAAAGGAATTCTACTTCCTCTCAAAATTGACCTTAGTTTATGTACATAGATATATATATATTTTTTTTTAATATAGTTCATACTTTACCAAAAACATAAAAATAAAATCTCTGAACTTTGTTAAAAACTCACTTAAATTCAATAAATTTGCATACTAATTTGCAACTTTCTATTCAGATTTTCTGGAAAAATTCTAGGTCTGCAGTTTTATAGCCCTTTCAATTTTAGTATAATAAAGTGCAAGCTTGAAGTTGCTAGAAAATAGTGTTTTGGCAATTTTTTTAGTGGAAGGTGTTGCTCATTTTCGCCATACAAAAAATAATGGTTGAACATACTTTGTATGGAAGAAAAAATAAATGCCAAAAATCAACGCGATTTTCTAGCAACCTCAAACTTGCACTTTGTTATACTAAAATTGAATGAGCTATAAAACTGCGTACGTAGAATTGGTCTAAAAAAATTTGGATATAAACTTGCAAATTAGTATGCCAAGTTTAGAGATTTTATTTTTATGTTTTTTTTTGTGTAGAATGAAATATATTTTTATAAAAAATAATCGAAAATAAATTAGAATAGACAACTTTGCATATATTGCGAAAAATTCACTGTGCCAATACTTTTATTTGTCACTGTTTGTTTATGTACTTAAAAATTATTCAGCAGCTCAAAAGTTCTTAGTTCATTGTTGAGTACAGTTTTTTTTTATTGCGCATCTGCTGATCATTTATCACTGACAATTATGTACTTAAATAGTTAAAAGGCAGTAATATATTTTATGATAATAGCATTGCTGGCTTTGTACCTCGAACAGCGTAAAATTCATTGAGATAATTAAAGTAACACCAAATGTGAAATGAAATGACTTAATTAAAAAATTAAACAAACAATTTATGAAAGCACTTGAGGTGACTAATTTGGTGAAAAAGAAATGAAAATACCTGCGCAGTTTGCGTGCCATTTTTTTGTTTGTTTAATTGCTCATAAAGTCTTTATTAAGTACAACTTCTGAAGTACGTGCAATGAGATGTCTGTCTATTCTAAGGCTTGAGATGAATGGTAATGTTTATTACGACGTCACTTAAAGCAATTCGTTGTTCATATTTTTGCTAAGTGTTTGGCCGAGCTGGCTGAACTAACGGATGGAGTAAACGGTATTGCTCAACTTCATATTTTTTTGTCGGAACTAGGCACAAAACAACGCGTGCAGAAAATAGCATTCCGACTACATGCCTTCCGTTGTCCCATTTAATCTGTTTTAAATCTGTACGATTTACGAAGAGCTCAGGTGTTCGTCTCTCAACACGTCGCGGCCAAACACCTCATACCTAATTCTACCCCGAAGCATAAAAAGTGTTCCACCGTCTCATCCTACCACAGTCAGGTGTGCAACGTGAAGTGCCCAGTCAGCAATCCAAAAAGTTGTCTGCAGTCCCGTCTGCTCAAAAAGCTAGATACACCCTTCTGAGATTGAAGGCAACATGCGTTTTTCCCAACTGCAGCCCCACGATGTTTCCCAGTCATTGCTGAGCGAAGTACTCACCCAGTTTATGATGGTAGCTTCGATGGTCGAAGTGGGGATTAGAGTGCCAGTTCTGAGCCAACTCTTGCCAAATGGTTAGACGTCTCATTACAGGGTATTGCCGACTGACCCAGAGAAAGCTCGTTATGTTTGTCAACATAATTTAGTCGAGACTTGCACTGCCAAACTAGTTCGGAAGTAGTTAGAGGACTGGCCAACGTAGTAGTTAGAGCCTAGTCACTGCAGCCACGTAAATTCCTTCCCCTCCACTTTTTTTCAGTCCATGGCCTTGAGGATTGCAAATACCTCAGCCTGGAAGGCCGGCCGTATCATACTCACCAAAAGTAAAGTGAAGCTCATCCCCATTAATTTCGATAAAGACCCCAGATTATGACCCAGAGTCAGTTTTGGAGCCATCAGTGAAGATTCGACAATGTGAGAGTCCAGGCTCAGTGCTGGTATTAAACCAACATTCAGGATCCCCTTAGGCGACAGACCCCACGTTTTTCCAAAGACCTGTTTACATTGCCAAAATGCTGCCAATGCTTTGGAACTCTTGTGTTCCACGTGAGATTTCCATGATAGTTTTGTATCCAGAATTACTCTTAAATACTGTACTTCGGGAGAAGTGTGAATTGTGACTCCTTTCAGTGTGAGGGGAATGAGACCATCCGATCTTCTCGTTCTATTGAAGAGCACAACATTAGTTTTGATTGGGTTAGCGGTGATTCCATTTCCATCAGACCAAGTGTCAATCCATACCGCAGAGATGGGCCCGTGACTGGACAGGTCACCTCGTCCCAATAGGCTTGAGCCTAGATATCAGAGTGATTAAGAGTAACAAGAAGAGAATCAATTACCAGGCACCAGAGGAAAGGGTAAAGCACACAACCCTGAGGGCAGTCCGTGCTAACTCTGCTCGTGACATATTGACCCCCTTATGCCTGAATCCTTATGACATGCTGCGGCAGCATTGAATTTGATATTACAGTTTTGCGGGAAAACCAAAGTCAGACTTGAGATAATGTGTCGATTCCCACCTAGCAGCCCTTTCTCAAGATTTCGCATTTAGTAAATGCCTGGTCTATGTTAGATTTACTAGGTCTGACGCCATATTGATTAGGCCCAATCAGTTCATTGACGGTGGCTTTAGTCTTTCGCACAACACGCTCGGTAAGACCTTAAAGCCGAGGTTTAGAAGGCTGACCACGCAGTAGCGGTCGCGTTTTGCGGTGTTACCTTTGTTGTGGATTGGGCAGAGCACAGTTAAGTTCCAGTTATTGTCGTCATTGACTGGGCGTTCCATCTCATTTTAATTAGGTTCTGGACATCGATCACTTGGTCGTCTCAGTTGTTCTTACGAGTATTTAAATTGTTCTAGAAACCTGCCGTAAGTCGTCTGATAAAATATTACTGAGTTATTCTAATAAATTTTCTCAACTTGAAGAGCGATTTTTTTTATAGAGGTGCGGGAATGGTTATGCTATTGAAGCACCTACACACTGTATGACAAAGACTAATTACTCCCTTGTGTTGAATTGTGATGACTCGCACTTGTAAGTTCTCGTGTATAATAAAAAATAGTACACACTTGGCCATACTTTTTCAATATTCTTATCTTAAGTAAAAATTTGATATACTCTTTGAACTAAAGTTATTCTTTTAATTGTAAAAAACTATTTTTATTTAAATATCACCTTCTCCAGTTTGCTCGGTGGTGTCTACGACAGATGCATTCGATGAGGCTTTAGCTGAAACATTTTCCAAGGGCTTTGCGAATAGCACGGACTTAGTACGGGCTGTACGAGAATCAATACGACAACACGAGCTGCTGCAGCAACGTAATAAACATAGTAGGTATGTACATAAATATGATTTTACAACTCGGTTGCAATATGAACGATACAACGATCTCTCCTTTAGATCCAAACGCGCCGTCAAACGTGTTTGTTATGGCGAACTCGGCTGCTTTGAGGACTCCGGCCCTTTCGCTTACTTGGAAATGTTGCCCTCGCCACCGGAGGACATCAACACCAAGTTCTACTTTTACTCCACAAAAAATCGTTCCGAGCGACCACTTATGGAGTTGCCTTTCCTCAATATGACCGATACCTTTGCTAGCGTCGCAAGCAGCTCACATTCGATACGACGCAGAGCAGGCTCAGCGAATGATACAGCCGCCACAGACACTTCAGCTACAACCACTACAACTACAACGACAACAACAACCACTACACAGCGTAGCGTCTTCAAAAGCACTCCATTGACGCTGGACGAACTGCATGGCTTCGATGAGCTCTCGGTGCGTGTTATTGTGCACGGTTTTGGTTCGGCCTGTCCGCACGTGTGGATCTATGAAATGAAGACGGCTCTAATGGCGGTGGTAGGCAATTGTCTGCAATAGTTTTAAGGTACCAATTTAAATTTGATTTTCTTGCAGGAAGACTGCATTGTTATTTGCGTTGATTGGGAGAACGGCGCTACTTTCCCAAATTACGTGCGTGCTGCAGCCAATACGCGACTGGTCGGCAAGCAATTGGCTATGCTTTTGCGGAATTTGCAAGAGCATAAGGGTCTCAACTTTACCAGAACGCATATAATTGGTTTTAGTTTGGGTGCGCATGTGTCCGGCTTTGCCGGCGCAGAGCTGCCGGGTTTGGCGCGCATTACTGGTCTGGATCCGGCAGGTCCGCTCTTCGAAGCGCAGCACCCGAAAGTGCGTCTGGATAATACGGATGCGGAGTTTGTGGATGTGATACACTCGAATGGTGAGAACTTAATACTCGGTGGCTTGGGTTCGTGGCAGCCGATGGGACATGTGGACTTCTATCCGAATGGTGGACGTGTGCAGACGGGTTGCTCGAACCTATTCGTGGGCGCAGTGACGGATTTTATATGGTGTAAGTGATTGGAACGCATACTATTTTTCTTTTGTTTTTAAGCATTATTTGCCTCTTTCCTATAGCGGCTCAAACGGCTGACGAGGAAGAAGGTCGCTCGCTTTGCAATCATCGGCGTGCTTATAAATTCTTCATCGACTCTGTAGCGCCCCGCTGCATGTTCCCCGCTTACCCATGCAAAAACTATGACGACTTTATTAAAGGTGAATGCTTTCCATGTGCACAGAACGATGAAGATATCGCTGAAGGTGTGCCACGTTGCGGCAATATGGGCTATTATGCAGATCGTTCTACAGGGCGGGGTCAACTTTATCTGCTGACACGAGAAGAGGAACCATTCTGCGCACATCAATTTAAGCTGGAGATATTCAACTCTTTCAATGATCTGCCGCTAAGGACTATTGGTCGTTTAGAGGCCACGCTCGAAGGTGAAGGTGGGCTGAACGAAACATTCAAGATATCAGAGTGAGTTCTTTGGTATATTTACGCTGCTTCTAGTCTAACAATCACCCTTAATCTTTTTTTGCAGGAAAGATGACTCTGAATTTTTCGCTGGTGATATCGTTTCGAAAATCATTGTACCACACCCGGCTTTGGGCTTTCCAACTACACTTAGTTTACACTACAAATCGTATAGCGGTTGGCTGTCCAAAGGTCTGCCGCATTGGGATATCGATAAGGTAGTGTTAACAGACAGCTTTGGTCGCAGCCACTCGCTCTGTAAGCCTTCAACAAAGCTCTCGTCCGGCACACCAGTGCGCCTCAAACTGCTCTCGGGAAATTGTGAACTGGAGAATCAAGAGGAGTATGGCACTTATAATGTGCCCACCACTTCGGTGCCGGACTCTAGCGGACAAGAGAGCGTGGATAATGCGGAAACCGATAGCATAGATGCCGCCAAGCAAAGCAAAGATTACTTTAATCTCGGTACCAGCTTTCGACTGGACCAGAATAAATCATATGTTGACAACGATCTGCCATGGCAACCCATTTTCGAGGGTTCCAATGCGCTGGACAAAGACGTGGGCGAGTCGAGTCGCAGTCTTTCGGTTGAGCCAACTGAAATTTTCGAACCAATTCTGAATGATCGTCGTCTTGGCCTAAAGAATGCGCG